TTCCCACTATTGTAATGAGAACAAAGCAACATTGGTAATTACTCCCTCCTTGGCACTTAGTTTGGGGCAGCATATTGTGATAATGTACCTGAAGAAAGGTGCCACTGTGGAAGCATAACATAAACAGCATCCCTGACACACCACAGACTTCTCTGAGTTCTGAAAGGGATAATGGGAATAAGCATTCACTTCCCATCACTATGGTATGTGAAGTAGCTAAACTAAAAGAAAATGGTTTCCTGAGACACTTTTTTGTGTTACTTTTTCCTCATTGCTGGGACAAAATACCTGGCATCCAAAATTAAAGAGGGAAAGGTTTATTTAGCTAACGTTTATAATGGTTTCAGTCCATAATCAGCTATTTCCAGAGCAGGGTGGTGTGGCAGAGGGACAACAGTTCACAATAGTGGAAGGTGACAAAAGCATCAAGAGCAAAGGGGATAGAGGAGGCCTCTTATCCATCCCTTATAGTGTACGAAGGCTACCTGCCCTAGGGTGAATGTAGCATTCTCACTCCCTAGTTCCAGGACTAGACAATGAACCAATCACAAACTCTAGATTTAGCTGCCTCCAAAAAGCTCTTCCCCAAAAAAGGCCTCCTCGCTCTGACCACATGAGGCTTAGGGGGACATCCAGACATGAAGCAAAATTTTGAAAGCTGAAAGTCCAAATGGGCTAGCACTGGTTTGGTGGTGACTCTGGGCTGCATCAGCTCATGGTGTACAGAGCAGTGGGAGGAACGTGTCTCAGGAGCAAGCTATTGCTTACATCTCTGGTCAGGAAAGGAGACTGAGAAAGCGCCTGGGCTCCCATAATCTACTTAAAGGGTACACTTACAGTGACTTAAGGATCCTCCACTAGCCGTGCCTCCCAAAGATCCACAGCATCTCTCAGTACCACTACCCTGGGGACCAAGCATTTTCACAGGTCCCTTTGGGGGGTCACACAGAATCAAGACCAAAGCAGGGCAGTACAATGGGTGTGCCTGTGGACACAAAAGAATAGCAATGAAGTCAGGCATAGTCTGGAAAATGGTTTGATGGACCATGGTGAAAGAGAAGGGGAACTATGAGATGAGAAATTCCTTAACAAAAGACTTAACAGGCTTGTCTATTATAGCTGAAAATTTTGTATGGGAGAAAATGGAGAATTTATATAGTTCTTAAAATGGAAGATTTTTTTTTTTGTCACTCTTCCTTAAATTGCAGCATGTGGTCATGTTTTCCCACACCCATGAAGAAAAACAACCCACCCAACGCAGAAACACCAAGTATGAGGTGCTGTGAGAAGTCACTCCATTTAAACCCAGCCCTTTCTCTTATTGCTTGTTTTAGGAAAAGCACCTCCACACCTCTTCCATGTTATTTTGAATTCAGAATTAGAGTGGGTGGAATGAGTATAAAATGTTAAGTCACCCCAAAATACTAAATCTCCATTTAATGTTTAACCTGAAAATCTTGTTCATAGTGTGAAAAGTAAACATGACCATCACAGATTGAAGATCATGGAGACAGAATAGGGTTTAGAGTGACTTGCATGGGTTTTTCTCCCTACAAATCACTCTGCTCTTTGGCACAAGGATTCTTACAAGCAAAACAATAATGAAACCAAACCCTAGCCAGGCATTAATGAAGCAGTGTTAGCAACTACCATTCCCTTCACCATGTCTGTTGCTGATGTTTTGTTAACTATTACAGTGTTTTTTATCTGACAAAGATGGTCCCCTGAGACAAAATTGTAGTTACACTTCTCTGAGTCCTTTCTTTCACTAGCCCTGACTTTGGGATTCCCTCTCTGTTCTGGAACAATCCAGGTTAAGAATCCAGTTAAAACAATTTAGTGGCAATCTCCACCTCTTGATATCTGATGACCTTTGATTTCTATCACCCTGATCTTCTCCAGTAATAATCCTGCCAGGTCAGGTTAGCTAGAAAACTCTCATCCTTGATGGTTCCTTTTTAAAAATTTTTTTTATTTTAAAGTAAAGATTAAAAGAGGACATAACAAAGCAGATCAGAACAGTTTAAGCAGCACAGTATTTCACCACAAGACAACCCGATATAACAGTAGCTACCATGTCTCTTTCTTTGAAATAGTTGAGCATACCTTTATACACAATAGTATCAAACATAACAAAATAATATAAAACCATTAAAGAGAATCAAGGTATTACAGGGCATTCAGAACCAAATAACAGAAAACAAACAATATTACTATATTATCTCATTGTCCATAAAAATATTTATACTACCACACATAATACAATCCATTAAGATACAACATGATAGAACCAATGGAAACAGAAGAACAAAAGTATGGTAGGACTTCAAAATAAGGTGATATTAAATCAGCACTGGCTATTATGTCTTGTTTTCTTCAAAAAGCTGTTTATACCATCACAGATAATAAAATCAAACAACCCAGGATAAAACCATTCCAACTAATGAATGGAAACATTATAAGGCTTCAAAGCAATGTAATGGGGAGTCATGATTACCATGAACTTTTATGTACTCTTACCATTTCTTACACTAGGGAAAGTATACGGTATTTATACATGTGAGTTTGATTTATTTTGCTTATAAGTATGGTCTCAAGCTGCGTCCATTTGTTCCTTTTAGTGGTTCTCCATCTCCTGCTCCCCTCCCTTTGGTTATAAATCTCTGCTTAGCCCTGGAGCTAAAGTCCAGTTTCTTTCCTCTGCCACAAGACCCAGGGCCATGTCTCTGTATCTATTACTATGGTCTCCACCTTCGAGGAAAGTTTATCTCATTTTCTTTAACAAATGTCATGAGTAATTTCTAATTTTTCTTTAACATTGGTTTATTAAGTATAGGCCATCAGTCTATATACTTTTCTGCAAGTATTTTGGAGGCTTGTTTCTTTTTCCATCACTCAGCTGCTCAATTACTAACTATAGGAAGACAATTCCCAGTCCTTTTTTAAACACTGACATTGTAAACACTTCCATCTGTGGCTGCTGGGTCACTCCCAGTCCTCTTTACACTTCTTCTTTATTGTTCTTTCTCGTGTTCTTTTTCTGCATCTTCTTCCTCTCATTGCAGTTTTTTTTTTGAAATTTATTTACAGATCAGTATTCACTTTTTCCTGATTAATCTCACTTGCTTCCATGGCTTCTCCTGTCTCACAGAACCATCCCATGCCTTCCACACCAGTCCATGGGTCAGAATCAGCCAGGCTGCTGAAGACAGGGAGCTTCACCGGTGCCACTGAAGATGAAATTTCGGGGACTCAGTAACGCAGAGATTTAAGGAGATGATCCTATTTATGGATTGTCACAGGATTCTGAGAGGCAGGTAGTGTAAGCGTTAATTATTCCACGAGATACTGATAATATTTACATTTATTTCTTTCATCAATACAGAGGGTTTCCTGAGATCTAGTCCCAGAAGTCTAACAGACTGCTTGTCTCTACCTTGTTCTTTGCTTTACAGAATGCTTTATGCTCTTCCTTATAAAATGCCACCCAGTTTTCAGGGGCTAATTAAAAAGCCGTACCCCACTTTGCCAGAGGGATGATTCCTTTAGCTAGCTTGGACAAGCCGCTCAGCATCTCTCGGCACAGTTTTCTCATTTGAAATATGGGAAGGGTAGCATTTCCTCCCTTACTGAGTTGTTGAGAGATTAAGTATTACTTTTTCAGGCTCTATCACAAAGGAAGCACACAAAAACAGCTGATGCACTCTGCCTCTCCCTGTAACACTTCCGCGGTCTCCGAGGTCTTCTAGATGGGGGACACTCCCCTTGCTCCAGACAGACTCTTTGGGCAGCAAAGCCCCAGTCTTTTGCATGACTGTCCCCCCGGAAGTCGACACTGCAGCCATCTGACAAGTGCCCTGGCTAGGTGGCAAATAAATGAATGAGCCAATTGCTTACATAGGATGGCACAAAATAAATGATTTAAGTATGCCCTTTGTGGTGTGTATCATTAGGGAGGAGGAAAAAAGACAAAGTTACAGCAACAATGGGGAAACAAGGCGCCAACTTCTTTCCTGTTGCGTATTAAATCTTTGTTACTAGACAGTAAATCTGGCCTAAGCCTTCCCTTCATCCTGTGACCCTTTTCGCTTGCCTGGAGTGTGAGCACTAACATTTTGCTATTTTGACTTTATTTTCTGCTCCCCCTCTCCTCTGCCTCCCGCTAGCCTCTCCATGGGGACTAAGCTTTCATCACTGTCGCCAAGGCAACAGCAGGGATGCCTCATTCTTCTCAGTGCTGCGTGTCTAAACTCTAGTCGCCTTTGTCCAGAGAGCCGGCTGAATCCTTTCTATGCATACTCCTAAATCAGCTATCTTCTACACAGAACTGTGTGCATCCTTCCACCGTCTCACAAAGTGGATGCGAAACCACTTCTTCCCCGAGGATGGTCTGTACCAAACCTTTCAATCCTTTTGTTTGGACCAGACATTTTTGGTGCCCAGGAGCAAATGCAAATATCGCCTGTTTAGCCTTTGTAAGTGTGTGCCACTTAAGGGCAGTCAATTTTCAAGCAAGCGTCAAAGCATTCGTAACGCGTTTCCTTTTTAAAAGCACCGTGAACCAAAAATAAACCCGACAAAGGGCAGCTGTGGAGTTTTAAGATGTGGAAAACTCCACAGGCAGAAGTTATATAACTGGAAAGAAGCACCATAAATATTTCACACCGTTACACGAACTTCCAACTCCTGACACACCAAAAAGCGAAGAACACAAAACACACCTTTGCCCTGTTAGGAGCAAAAAGGTTATCCCGAGAGGAGGTCAAGGCTGTAGCGAAAATCTGAGACCTGACTTCCAGCCCGAGACGCGATCGTTTTTCTTTTTTTAATTTCCCCTCTTGCGTCCGAGGCAGAGGTCACCAACTGCACCGCCTCGTAGAGCTTCCCCCGCAGTTTTGCACGTCTGGGTAGCAAACCGCCTAGAGTCCCAGAGCGAGAATTCGGGGGTGTGTGTTGGGGGGGGGTAGTTGTGCATAAGCAAGCACTCGGGCGAGGCAGGCGGAGCTCGCGCGCTCCCTCCCACGCTCCCGGCCGGCTCGCAGTGCAGCCGGGGACAGCTGGCGGCGCGGGACGGACAAAGCGGATCAGCGCGGGGGCGGTGGCCCGCGCCAGGGCCCGGAGGTCGCCTCCGCGAGGGACTCTGCCGCCCCCTCCTTAGGACCCGGCGGACACCTCGTCCGCTTCCACGCCCTCCCCTCCAACCCACCCACCCTTTAAGAAGAGGGCTGCCCTCGACCCCCTTCCCAGGGCCAGCAGACCCGCCTCCAAGCCGGCCTCGGCAAGGGCCCCTGGAAGAGCCGCGGTCCGGCGTCGAGACCCGCCCTCCTCGGCGTCCCGCGCCACCCCAGTGCAGCGCCCCCGGTCCCCGGGACCCCGTCACCTCGGCGCGCGCGGGCGGCCGGCCGAGCCCAGAAAATGGCGAGGAGGAGTCGCCACCGTCTCCTCCTGCTGCTCCTGCGCTACCTGGTGGTCGCCCTGGGCTGTAAGTCGCTGGGGTACCTCTACCCGGCCACCCGCACCCCTGCCGCCGGGCTGCCCCCCCCCCCAGCCCAGAGCGGACGCGCGGGCCGCGGAGTGGGCGCCCCACGAGCGGCGCAGGGCCCCGGAGAGCGCGGGCTCCCTCCCGTGCGCGCTGGCCTGGGACCCCCGAGGGCGCCCACTGGCACATTCTGATCTCCCGGCGAAGTTGCCAAGGTTTTCGGAGTCGCAGGGTGCAGATCGGCACGCGGACGCCGCTCCTAAGATGCTGAGCGTCCCGGAGCCGCGGGGCGCCCGGGGGCGGGGACCTCGGGGCCCCGCAGAGGAGGCTCGGCCTCCGGGAGTCCCAGCCGCGCTGGAGACGCCAGCACCTGGAGCGGGGCTGGGGGAGCTGGCGGCCCGGAGCCCGGGCTCCCGCTCACTCCCCTCCCCGCCGGCCCGGAGCCGAGGCCGGGGCGCGCCGGCTGCTGCCCCTCGGAAGTGCGCGGGCGGGGCGGAAGGTGCGCGCCGGGAGGGGGCGTCGCGCAGCCCAGGACCAAAGCCGGCTTCCTGGGGTGGCTTTAAGCAAGCTTGTGGCAGATTTTGGACTGAGGAGTTTTAAAGTCCTAGGAACATTTCCTTTAGTTTTGTTTTCTTAGCGTTAACATTTACGGAGCATGAAACAAGCTACAATAGATCTTGTAGCACTGTGACTGTGTTTTTCTTTCGTTTTCATCCCACTTTTCTTCTGTTCCTTTTTTTTTTCTTTTGTAGTAAAGTAAGTTTTTACAAGCCTTCAAATCCTGATACTGTAATGTAATACTTAAAATTACCTATCTGGTAAGTGTCTCACACTCCCAGGCACTCTGTTCTCACGCTGCTCTCTTTATCGAAGGGGTCATTGCTCAGGCCAAGGTGATGTGACAGAGTCCCCTTAGAGAGGCAGGAAGGTACACACTGTCTCAGAGGAGGAACATGGCAAACTAAGAAGGCAGAGTTTCCCGATAAAATCCTTAGGCACTGTTCAAATGTCCTTGGCATCGCACTGAACCCTCAGAAAGATTCGCTCTTGTGCAGAAAGGCAACAAAGAGTCTGGGGGAATTGTAACAGACTGCTGGGAAAGTTATGGATTTGCTGAAATCTTAAATTTTAAAAGAGATTCTGACTTGAATTGTCACTAAAAGCGGAGAAAACTGTTTGCTGTTAGTTCTGTTCAGTCATCACACTAGAAACAGTACACCCTAAGTTTGAAGTTAGACTAAGAAACAGCCAGGAGCAACAACTGCTTGGGTAAATGAGCAGAATGAGCTCTCCCGCCAAATTCTGTGTAAATATAATGTATGGCTAATCCTAATTCCTCCAGCGGATTAATTTGGAAGGATTGGGGGGACCTTTTCTGTATTGTTCCTGGGATACCGAAAAATCTGCCATTGCAAGAATGTTTTTTCAATGAACTTCTTAGAATTTGAGAAGTCTAAAGAAGCCTCAGTGTTAGTAGAGAGTTCCCATAAACCCCACATGCAGTTTTCCCTGCTATTAATATCTCCCCTTAGTATGGTGCCCTTGGTTCTGATTTTCCTCATTCTTAATGCCCTTTTCTAATCCAGAATCCCATTCAAGATACCACAGTGCATCTCGTGGTCATGTCTCCTGTGGTACCTCTCAATCGTGACATTTGATCAGATTTCTCTTGTTGTCTGTTACCTGGACAGGTTTGAGGGGTACTGGTCATGTATTTCTTAGATTATTCTTCAAATGATATTTCTTTGATATTTTCCTCACGTCTAGAATGTAGTTAAGGGTCTTTTGGAGGAAGACTACAGAGGCAAAATGAGATTTTCATCCTGTCATGCTCAGGGAATATAGTATAAATATGACTTAACTCTCTCTTTACCTTGGTCACCTGGGTGAGGTAGTGTATGCCCATTTTCTCCACAAGTCACCACTCTTCTTTCTTATCTCGAGACTGTCTTTTACAAGGAAGTCACTCTGTGCAACGCACACTTAAAGGAAGAGAATTATGTCTTGCTTCTTTGGGGTGGAATAGCTACACAAATTACTCAGAATTATTATGTGTGGAAGATATATCTGCCACTTATTTACATAGTTATTTAGCAGCTTATTTTTATATCAGCATAGGCTCATAGAAATTTATACTTTGATTGATAATCTAATACTTTTTTATTCATTAGAGACAGGTTTTTTTCTCATACTTATATATTCATTTTCTTCATAGTCTTCCTAAATATAACTTTACTGCTTCTTTACCTCAGTCTTTTCATCTGTTATAACTTGATGCTTATTCTGTTCTTTCTTACATTTGTCAACATTTTTATATATTTCTTACATTTTTGGGGGGGTCTTTTTCCTTTTTTATCGGTACCAGGGATCGAACTCACGACTGTCTGCTTGCAAGGCAGGCGCTTATGCCGCTGAGCTAAATCCCCAGCCCCATATTTCTTACATTTTCATATATTTCTTAGACCTGTGGAGTTTTGGGTTACTTTTATGTTAAAGTAGAAGTTCAATATTTCTACTGATATGTAGGCATTTACTTTTTTGTTTGTTTGGTGTATTGGTCAGCTTTCATCTATTGTGACCAAATATCTGAGACAGTCAACTTAACAGAGGAAAAGCTTATAGGCTCATGATTTCAGAGGTTTCAGTCCATGGTTATTGGTCCCTTTGCTTTTGGACCTATGACAATGCCTCACATAATAGTGGGGAAAAATATGTGGTGGAGAAAAGGTCCTTTCTTCATGGCTAGGATACAAACATAGGGAGAGAAGTACGGGGCTCCACTGCTTCTTCTTAGAGCACTCACCCAGAATACTTCCTACTTCTTAAAGGTTCAATTGCTCCTGGTCATGTCATGGGTAGGGACGAAGCCTGTAACACATGGGCCTTTATTCAAGCCACACCAGTTTTGAATCACTATGTATCTTTCCCATTTCATTATAGCATTGCTTACGTGTGTATATTGCCTGAGGAAGTTCATTCTTGGTCTATGTCCTAGTTCACTGTTTATTCTTATTTCAATTCTTATCAGTATAGCTAATCACCAGTGTAAGTCCTATGCTCACCAAAGCACCTGACTAACAGCAGATGTAAACATATACCCAATGATTGAATAGCATGTATTCCTTCAAGCTGCTATAAAAAGTGTAAACTGGGTAAGTTATAAGCAAGTGTTTTACTTCCATGGATGAGGACCCATGTATTTACCCATCAGCATAATCCAGAAATGTGTTTCTCATAGTTCTGGAGGCTGGGAAGGACAGAGTCAAGGCATGGGTGATGTAAGTGTCTGGTGATGGCCCACTTTCTAGTTTATAAATGGCTTCTTTTCCCCCCATCCTCATGTGTGGGAGGGGCAAAGCCATTTTGGAGGGTTTCTTGTGTAAGGGCACTAATCTCTTTGTAAGGGTTTCCTCTCATGATCTACTTGCCTATCAACCATCCTTTGTTGATAAAATCACCTGTTTCTGGACTGTAGCAGATGGTATGGAGATATGCAAACGTAGACAAACAAGTCTACGTATGGAATTAATGACTACAATATAAATTTTGAAGCACCAACTGCATGTTCACTAATTGAGTGGCAGATTTTCAGAGTTGACATGTAAGCTGATACTTCCGTAAAACAGTAGAAATGAGTGTTCACTGCGGGTTAATGAGGCCTCTTACTTTTGGGGATCTCAGAGCCAAGCCACTTAGTGTGTGAGAGCAGTTCCCACTGTTAGCTGGTTGGTAGCAGGTCTTCAGATCTGAACTGGAGCATGAATCTGCCCCTCAACATGGGGCTATCCTTTCTCATAAACTGATGAGACTTTGGTAGGAATGAAACATCTGCTCACTCATAAAATCACAAGGTTCTGCTTCCAGTGCAGGGTTGACCCAAAACAGCATACAGGGGTCCAAGTCTAGGAAATTTCTACCTATGTATATGTTGTTAAGAACAAAGGATAATAATTGAGTCCCAGGTAGCCAATGAACAGAAAAGCCAAAGGAGGTGTGTGGGACAAAAATGACGTTTTAAAAAAAAAAAACAGAAAATCTTTAGGCTACAGAGAACAGCAAGTTCCTTTTGACCGAGAACACTCTTTTATTCTCTAACTTGAGCTCAAAAGAGCTGGGAGATGCTCACTATCCATGCTTCCCACTGCAACGATTTCCTCCTGTGGCCCTTTCTGATGGAGCAGATGTGTGGAGTATAGGCAGGAACTGCTGTCTGCTAAAGTCAAGGACTGAAAATCTGTGCAAAGCATTCACTATCTAAAGCAACTTTTCCATTCCGTAGGCACTGCTGAGTCTATGCCTCAGGATACCCTCATCGCCTATTTTGGTTTAGAGGAAGATGAGGATGGGGATGGAAATGGAAAATTAAAACCTGGGTCAATTCAGCTTCTTTTGGAAAACAGAAAAAGAAAATTTAAAATTTCATTTCCTAGAAAGTGTTGTTAATAAGGGTGGGACTCAGAAAACATCCTACAGGATTAATGCTCTGTTACTATGGAAACAAAGACTACAAATACACAACCTAGATTTATTATCTTAAAGCTTTTGAGGTCAGACAGCTGGAACAGGCCTCACGGGGCTCCATTCAAGGTACTGGCAGGCAACGTTCCTTCTGGAGGGTGCTGGGGAAGAATTTGTCTCCAGGTCTTGTCCAGGTTGTTGAGGCACCTACCATGGCCTCTTCCTTTAGCTCCAAATCCGGTGATACCATGCTGCCATCTCTTGGTTCACTCTCATCTGTCTCCTTCACTTCCATGGTTGAGGACCAAGGAATTACCCATCTGAGTAATCCAGAATACTCTCAAGATCGGCTCAATGGCAACTGTAATTCCATCAACAATCTTAATTCCTGTTGTCTTGTTTACTTTCTTTGCTGCTGAGACATAGTATGTGACACCTGCAAATTAAAAGAGGAAACTTTTATTTTGGCTCTTGTTTCAGTGGTTCCAAATCAGAGTGGCAATAGCTGCTTACTTTATGGCAGACAGGAAGCAGAGATTGAGAAT